CATTTTACTAACTTTTAATATTTTATTAACTAACACTATATTTTTAATCGTATTAATTATTATTTGAACTATATTTGATATAAAAAACCTAGTGTCTTTGACACTTATCAATACTATTTCGTGCAGCAGACATATTTTTTCCACGATCCGCTTGCAAATACTACTAAAGATGCGTCTATTGCATATAAGTTATCTACAGCGATAGTAGAAAAAAATATATAATTTATATTATTTATTATATGTAACTGAAAATAATATTTTCAAATATTTGCTTAAACCTTAAGAATATAATTTTAAGAATTGAAATGACTTTTTTCAAAATATTTATATTTTGTTAGTCATTATCTTTGTAATAATAATAAAAAATAGTTTCATGCTCCAGTATTGCCAAATTGGTGTCAGTAGCGCCTGCACTATAATTTTATTTTATAAAAAAAGGCATTGTTGACATGAACAGTACCAACGCCAACTTGGCGCAAAAATCCTCAGTTTGGCGTTGAAGGCGCCAGTGGTATAAATTTGACGCAGCGCTATACTTATTTAAATGATATTAATAAGAATTAAATACATAAATATTAAAATATTAAAAGAGTATAGTAATAATATTATATATATATATAAGTTAAAAATAATAAATTAAAAGAAAATAAAAAAGTTTTAAATACTAAAATAACATATATAATCTGGAAGCATACGTGAAGACACCTGATTAAAAATTTATCTAGATGACAACATTTATTAAGATTCTAACTGAAAGCAATGATTCTTAGTTAGAGATTTTATTCAGTCCCGTTAAATTGTAACCATACGTAATGATTAGAAAATTTTTAGTCAGTAATCTCCCTACATATATGTACATAACCACCTGATGGAAACAGAAAAAAAAAAAAAAAAAAAACACAGAGAGAAGAAAGAAGAAGTCGGGAGAAAAGAGACAAGAGAGTAAGAAAATCGAGAAGAGGAGAAGAGAAAACACTCTCATTTTTTCTAAAAATGAGGTAATTTCAAAGAGAGTAAAATATTTTCTCATTTTTTTCTTTTTATTTATTCATTTTAAAGCTAAGTTTTAGAAAGTTGCGATAATGCTATTATTTTGTCAAATTATTATTTTAAAATTCTTCTTCTATTTAATATTGTTTATATTTGTAGTTTACTTTAATTTTTTATTTTCATTCATTATGCACTAAGACATAATTTATTTGATACCAAAAGAATGTTAATAGAATGTGTAAATTTTAACTGAATGATGGAGTTGTGAACTGACCTACAAAGTTTGGGATCAAACGGTTATAGGATAAGAAGTTAAAAACCATAATTTGTTATTTGTTATTATTTCTAATATTACTTTATTTTTATGAACTTATTTGAGAGAATGACATTTTTAATTTGTCATTACGGCTATAATGGTTCTAATTAAAAAATCTCAATATTATTAATATTTTTCTCACATTTGTTTGTTTTGTGATAATCTTTCGAGAGACATCATGTCTAGCCTATACTTATCTGGTGAAGAATGAACAATTACTATTTACTTTTATGACGAAGCTCATAATTTTATGTAATAGTAGGAAATCAAAGAGCAACAATTATATTTTATTTAGAGAGAATAAAAACTTATACATATAAAACGAACTAAACGAGACTTATAAATTGTACAAATGTATGACTACAATATGTGACATATGTAATGAAATGGTGTAATTTTGTTAGGATATAGATCTTGATTTAAAATAATTATAATAAAAAATATATGTATCTGATTTAGTACATTGTATAAAGTAACTTAAGAAAATTTGTATTATCTATCAATGTTTATATTTCTTTATTTTATTGTTTTTATAATTAAAATATAATTTAAGAAATAATATGATATTATCTTTACTAATTAATTATAAAAGATGTTACAATCTTTTTCCTTGTGTATTCTAGCAAGTAGCAATTATTATTTGTTGACATACTCCAACGTTCATGTTGCTAGCTGCTGATGTTTTTTTTTTTTTTTTTTTTTTGTATCCGCTGCTGATGTTTTTATTATTGTAATTATCGAAATCTATCAAGTATCAACAATGTGCTCCACCAACTTTGCTGTTGACATGCTCGTTGTCACTGTTGTAATATGATGACAATACAAGCTATATTAAAAAAAAATCATAACTGTATTAAAAAAATATATTTCATAATAATTTAAATTGTCATCATTTACGAATATAAATTTAGTATTTATTCTTGATAAATTATTCAAACAATATAATTCATATCCGATTCATTATTATAATTTTGATTATATAATAACAGAAGTTGACTCACCAGTATTTTAATCATGCCAAAGTTATATAATGGGAAAAGTATGATTCTTTTTCATTCTAAACCTTTTTTTACAAAAAAGATAATGATTATAAATTTATATCTTAGTTGTTTATTTGTTTAAATATAAAAATTAAGATTCTTAGTTAGTTCCAATTATGAACAAATTAAAGTTCAAATAAAAATTCTGAAGTAGTACTGTAATTCGAATTCTGCTATTTTATACCTATTCAAATGCAGTCATGATCTTTGAACGCGGTGAAATGAAGTAATTTCTCACATCTTAAGAATAATATCATAGTTACACATGTTTATTATTGATATTTTTTAAATACAACTAAGGAGAAAAAAATAAATGGTTTGTGATGATTATTTTTTGGGAATTCATCATCTCATATGGAAAAATGATCATGTTATTTGATCACAATCACTTATTGATGATGACATAAGAAAGATAAAAATATACAACTTTTAAATGAATAGTTGTGATCAAGCAACATGACCACATGATCATTTTTTCATATGAGAGAATCCAACTCCTTATTTTTTAAGCTAGAAGCTACTTTTAAATTAAAGCTAGAAAACTAGTTTAAAAAAAGTTAAAAGCTGTATGGTGATTATATAAATTTTTTAGCTTAAAAGTTATTTAAAAACACACATTTTAAGAAAAGTCTCTCTCTATCTATATGACTCTTCATTTCAAAAAAAGAAAACAATTTAAGAAAAAGTGATAAGAGCTTAAAAAAAAAAACTTCTCTTTGGAGCTTTTGGCCTTTTTTCTTCATTATACAAAAAAGAAACTTTTCTCAAAACTTGTTTGAAGGGGTGTTCGCGGTCTGGATTGGATCGATTTTGGAAGCAAAAATCATCTGATCCAATCCCTTCGGTTTGATCATGTAATCATCCATCCGATTTGGATTCTTTTTAAAATCCTATCCGATGCAATTCAAATTTTTTCAGTTTAGATTTGATTGGTTTTCGATTTTTTGAACATCCTAGAATTTGTTTTAAGATTATTGTGCAAATAACATCTTTTGTATATATTGGCTTTGTAATTTTTTTTTAAATACAAAATCATCAGTAAACGATAATATAGTTTTTTTTTTGGGCAATAAGATATGAAGCTCTACACAGATAAAATTTTGTTGATGAAATGTGACTAGATTTTTTCTTGGGTTTAGTTGACAAGTTAATGAATCTTGAGTTAGAAATTTTTGGGCTATGTTTGGGGAAAGACCCAAGTAGGTAGAGGAAAATTAATATATTGGATCGGTTTGGATTGGATCGATTTTCATCAACCAATCCGAAAATCGATCCAATCTAATAAAATTTGCAGTCTTTTTGGATTTTTGATTTATTCGGTTATCAGTTTTTTGGTTCGGTCACCGCGGTTTGAATCAGTTTGGATCGGTTGATGAACACCCCTACTTGTTTGGCATAGCTTTTGCTTATAAGGAGATAAAAAGATAAAAATAAGAGGCTCTAAACATGTATTAAGCCTGTTTGCATTTTTTTAAGTATATACTATTTATAAGTTAAAGCTAAAAAAGAGAGTTAAAAAGAAGTTAAAAAAATACACTTTTACTATCTCTATAGCTCTTCATTTAAAAACACACATATAATTCAAGAAAAGTTGATAAAAATTGAAAAAAAAGCTCCTTCTGTGAGCTTTTTGCTTGTAACTTTTTTCTTCATTATAAAAAAATATTTTTTATTATAAGAGCTTTTTTCAAAATCTGTTTGATCCAACTTCTACTTATAAATAGCTTTTAACTTAAGAAAAAAAATCTAAATAGGTATAAAGAAATTATGTATTATTTGTTTTGATAAACAAGAGAAAGGAAAAGATGAAAGATAAAAAAGCAACAATAAAAAAGAGATTTATGTTATAATCCCTTTATTCATAGGTATCATCATTATTTCTTCACGTATATGAATTATGATCGAAATTATTATTGCAAGTGTAAAAAGTTAGACTTTGACTTAAATATGTTAGATCTATATATTTTAAGTCTGACTTGATCTGTTGATTTGTATAAATCTAAATTATAAATATTTAAAAAACAAATACCTTATCTCAGACCTGTTAGCTTATTTAAGTTTAGAAATTTAATAATTAAATTAATAGTATTTTTTTAATTTATTAAAATAATAATTTATTTATTTAAAGTAAATAATATAATATAAGCCTGATATATAAAAAAAGCAAATAACTTACTTCTTAGATAGAGTTTTTTTAAAATCTAAATCCGTTCCATTTAATTATATATAATAGATCGAATCTAGATTACGATGTAAAATCGCGTAAACTAGCGCATTTACATCCCAATGGCAAGTGTAGAAGAGGATATGCATATGTTTAAAAGAAGGGAAATCATATTCTTATGTTGCATAAGATGAATCTCTCATGTCACTCTCTTCTCAAAAAATATGCTTTTTTTTTTTTCTTTCTAAAAGTTGGCGGGCCTACTTTATTTATCTTTTAACATTAATTTTTTTTTTCATATACTATCTGAATAATCTCCTTAAAAAGAAAAAGAAGAAGAGAGGATATGCAAATGGTGAACTGTCACGCGTACGCCACACACGTGCCCCATACATTTTTTATTTTTCACATTTGTCTTTTTAGGACCATACCGTATTTAATGGATCAATACACACATAACACAATAGGTCATTCATTTTTTATATAGTGAAATGTGAGCTCACAGTGACCCTCCTCCGATTATATCCCTATTCCTTGCCGTTGAATATCCTTAGCCTAACCATGACCATGACCATGTCTAACTCTAACACTAATCCAAACGGAGATTACCGAGTCACAACCCGAATGCTTCACCCGCAGGATCCGAATAGCTCCGCGGACCCTCAGGTTCCGCTTCGGAACCTCTCCTTGGTTCGGACGAGAATGGATTCTCTACAACGCTTCCTATCGCAATCTATTAACTCCAACGCTCCCGTCACCAATGATCAGATCACCACCGTCTCCAACCAGATCGTCGCCGCCATCCACCAGATCATCGTCAACGGCGCCGCCTTAGTCTCTTACTCCCAAAACATCACAGCCGCCGGAGCCTCCGTGTTCTCGCAGGATCCGCCGGATCCGCCGCCGCATCCGAAGAAGCCGAGGCTTGAATTCTCCGCCGCCGACAAGGCCAAACAGGTGCTCGATTTGAAAGTCGAGGCTGCAGAAGACGACGACGCAGCAGCAGAAGACTGCGACGACGATTGCGAAATCGTGGAGCTCGACGCCATGGAATTGCTCGCGGAGCACATTCATTTCTGCGAGATATGCGGGAAAGGGTTCAGGCGCGATGCGAATCTTCGTATGCACATGCGCGCGCACGGGAACCAGTTCAAGACGCCGGAAGCGTTGGCGAAGCCGTCGGAGGAGGTAGCCGGAGCCACGCGCCGGCGAGCGACGCGATTCTCTTGTCCGTTCGAAGGCTGCAACAGGAACAAGCTGCACCGGAAGTTCAGGCCGTTGAAGTCGATCGTTTGCGTGAAGAATCATTTCAAGAGGAGTCACTGTCCGAAGATGTACTCGTGTAACCGTTGCCACAAGAAGAATTTCTCGGTGCTCTCGGATTTGAAGAGCCACATGAAGCACTGTGGAGAGTCGAGGTGGAAGTGCTCGTGTGGGACCACGTTTTCAAGGAAGGACAAGTTGTTCGGTCACATAGCTTTGTTTGAAGGTCACATGCCTGCTCTTGCTTTGGATGAAGAGGATAAAGAGAAAGCGAAGCGAGTGGTGGAGGAAGATCAAGATCAAGATCAAGATCCAGTGGTGATGACTGAAAGTGAATTGGGTAATTGTTTTCTTGATGATGGGTTCTTTGATGATTTTGGGTCCATTGATAACTACTCTTTAGGGGAAGTTTTGGGGTTTCCTAGTAATTTGACATGACCTGTTGTCTCTCACTTTTTTTACATCAGATTCAGATATTATTATTACACATATGGCGTATATTTAGGGGATTCATATTCTATTAGTAGATTTGTATTTATATGTCTTTTATGTTCATTGTTCATTCGAAAGAAGAAAGTCTTGAGACTTTCTTATTTTGAGAACTCTGTTTTTCTGTAATTATTATAATAAGGTTTGTCAGTTGAGAACATGTGCTATCCTTTTTTTTTTTTTTTTTTAAATTATACATGGTGGATTAGATATAACCCTTCAAGACTTCAGTTATTAACCAGGTAAAAGGTGGAAATCAAAAGATATGCTGGTGCACTTTATTATCATTTCAGGTCATACCAAATGATAATAAAAAGCATACCAAATTGATCTAAAGATATAATATAACACTTCAAGACTTCAGTTAGGCTAATCATACCCAAATTCTTTGTTCATTGAAAATGATATGGCAATGAATTGAACCAATAAGGCAATAACTCATTGAATCAAAGCATTTGAGAAAAAGTCTTGGGGGGTATTAAGCATGAATTTGGAAGGTATCGCAGATTGATTTAACATTCATGAAACTAGATTTATAGAGCATAGATGCGCCTACAGAGTGGGAAACTGGGTTACTTCGTTCTGGATGATGAATGAGTTGGGAATTGGTTCTTGTTACATCACCACATTGTTTCCTGTCGTACCTGCAAATATTCCAACTGATAAAATACTTGCATTTGAGATGAGGGATCTTTATTTCCACAAAACGATACTTCCGCTTAGCTGACTTTTATTTTTTAGTTTTAAATATATTTTTTCTCCAGTAGTCATAAAATTAGACATGTGTATTAGAGTAAATCTTTCTTTAATTTTGAATAAATATTATTTTCGGTCCTAGCAAATTTTACGATGTCGCATTAGTTCCTAACAAATAAAAAGATTATCCGTGGTTCTTAAGAAACTCAAAGTGGACCCATTTTAGTCCTTTTGAGGAACTAATATAGGTCTTTTTGAATTTGTGAGGGATCACAATTTCAACTAAATTGGTCCATTTTGAATTTCTTAGGGACCACGAATAGCCTTTTTATTTGTTAGGAACTAAAGCAGACATCGTAAAATTTGCTGAGGACCAAAAAGGGTGGTATTTACTGTTTAATTTTTTTCCAAAAATTAAAAGGTTCAATTACATATTTTCTCTAAAGGTTTTCGTCTCTAAATTAGCCCATTAAAAATTGTAAATTTTTATCAAATTCGTCCTTCTATATCACCACTTAATTTTTTTATGGATTGATTTATAGGCAAAAAATTTTAAGCACTAATCTAATCATACCCTAATCTTTGAAATACGAATAAAAAATTTACTCTTATTATTATCATAATACAGATTGATAATAACCTAATGTTTTAAAAGACTAAGGTCGTAACACCTTTGTTTTGGGAGTATCAAAAGTAAGAATAATCTATTGTAATAATAATAAGAATAATCTATTATAATAATTAGATTGCAAGTTGCCATCTGTAAACACAAGTTGCTTGTTTTAATTTTATATAAGTTGCATCTGTAGATTCTGTACACATAGTGGACGACTTTGTCAATAATTTCAAATAGTATTTATATAATCTTAGTGATTTTTAAAAGAAATAATATATATATATATATATATATATATATATATATATATATATAGTGGTCCACATTTAATGCTTACATTTTTTGTATGATTATGATTCTTCATATTTAATGTTTTCACAAATATATATAGCAATTATTTGACTACTGCACGTACAACAGCTGCAGAAATGTAAACATCATAGGTAAAATTATTTCTACAGCCGGCTTTACGTACATCAATAACATGTGTATGATTATGATTCTCTACATTTAATGCTTTCATCTTGTAAAGTTATGATTCCTCATATTTAATGTTTTCACGTATATATATGACAAGTATTTGACTACTGCATGTACAATAGTTGCAGAAATATAAACCTCATAGGTAAAATTATTTCTACAGCCGACTTTACGTACACCAATGACAAGTGTATGATTATGATTCCCCACATTTAACGCTTTCATCTTGTATGGTTATGATTTCTCATATTTAATGTTTTCACGTATATATATGGCATGTATTTGACTAATGCACGTACAACAGCTGCAGAAATGTAAACCCCATAGTTAAAATTATTTCTACAGCCGATTTTACGTACAATAATGACAAGTGTATTGTTATGATTCTTCACATTTAATGCTTTCATATTTTGTATGGTTATGATTCTCCATATTTAATATTTTCACGTATATATATTGCAAGTATTTGACTACTGCACGTACAACAACTGCAGAAATGTAAACCCCATAGAGGTAAAATTATTTATACAGCCAGCTTTACGTACAACAATGACAGGTGTATGGTTATTGTAACATCCAACCGCTTCAAGAATCAATGACTAACCCCACATACTAACACGAGACTTTTCGGCGTGCTTTTTCCTCACTCACACACTTTCCGGGAAAACTTCCCAGGAGGTCACCCATCCTAGGATTGCTCCAAGTCAAGCACGCTTAACTGTGGAGTTCTTCCGTTCCAGCCCACCGAAAAGTAGATACATCTTGTTTGTATAGGTAGTACCAATTAATTCTTATAAGTTATCCCAAACTGTGTAGTCTCATATCTGCACAGTCTTTGGAATCCCTCTCTTTCGGGTGTCGATTCGATTCATTCATGCATTTAACCCCTCGCTGGAACCTTGTCAAGAGCCGCTCATTGTCCATGCCCTTTCGCACCGGCGATCACTCCCTGCCCTCGTCAGCGCTTGGGATGTTACAGTTATGATTCCCCACATTTAATGCTTTCATATTTTGTATGGTTATGATTCCCTATATTTAATATTCTCACATATATATATGGCCAATATTTGACTACTGCACGTACAACAGCTGCAGAAATGTAAGCCCCATAGAGATAAAATTATTTCTACAGTCGGCTTTACGTACAGAATGACAAGTGTATGATTATGATTCCCCACATTTAATGATTTCATCTTTTGTATAGTTATGATTCTCTATATTTAATGTTTTCACGTATATATATGACAAGTATTTGACTACTGCACGTACAACAGCTGCAGAAATATAAACCCCATATATATATATATATATGTATATATATATATATATATAGTTAGGATCCTTTGACACCAGTGTCAAATTTGAAATTTGACACTCCATCTGAGAGTCATTAGATAAAAAAAGATCAATGGTATCACATGCTTACAATTAGAGTCGTTGATCTTTTTTGATCTAATAGCTCTTAGATAAGATGTCAAACTTTAAATTTGACACTGGTGTCAAATGATCCTACCCTATATATATATATATATAACAAAATCATTTTTGTAGTCGCTGCACATACAGCAAGTCAGGATACAGATCCAAATCTTCACTTTTTTTTTTTTAAGAAAAGCAATGGGGCAGAATCATCTTACACCAGGATTTAAGTTTTATACTAAATCTTAACTGTTGATTTTCTTGCATCTAATGATTAAAAATTATTGGGTTCAAACTGTTTATTTATTTTTATTTAAAAAGTGTTAAAAGGTGTAGACTGATGGGCTGGGCTAGCCCGTTCAACACGAAAACAACTGTTCTTCAGATCAGGTATAGTTTCACAAACTCTAAAAAACTGGGCCTGTTTCACACGTTCAATATTCCAAAAAATTTCATGGTAATAAAGAATAATGCTACAGGAATGTTGACATCAAATTCATATCTATAGATATTCATGAGAGAGTAAGACGATAGGAATTATGTTTGCAATTGCGTCACTGCCTCAATCATCCGCCACCACCTTTATTCCTAGTTCACGAGTGCAATGCCTTAGTTTTGAACAATCCCACAGTAGGTTTTACCGTATCGCATTTGATTTTTATACAACCACGTGAAGTGTATTGAGGAAAAAAATCATTGTCTCTATATATAATTTGTACGACAACCGTGCAACCAAAACATTTAAACATCTTTTCGGCAATTTGAGACACATCATTCTGAACAAACAAGAATAATATTTCATTGTTGTGAAAAGCGCTGATTCACAATGTTTGTTTCTTTGGAAGCCTTGGCAATGGCAGGCACAAGTGATGTGGAATGTCCCATTGATATTGAAGAATGGGAACGCAGAGATTTGGAGCAAAATCCACCACCCCATTTATTAGCTGATGAAGAAGAAGGAAAAAATGATGGATCGAGAAGGCATGTATATGGCCATTTCCCACCGAATAATCACAACGTAAGGGACTATGACAAGGAAGAATATTGTGTCACCTTTTCCAATCATCAAGAAAAGCTGGATAGAACTATGGAAAACAAGAAGCTAGAATACATGACGACTTCAATAAAAATAATGGCGAGAGCACTTGCAACATTAATCATGATCTTGTGTTATAAGCCCAAGAGATTCAGGTTCTAAGTATTAGGTAGCATCATTAATAATTTGAGGTATTAAGTTTACACGGAAATGCGTTTTATCTTTCATGTATTCGATGTTTCAAGCTGGTTTGGCGCCTCTCCACATGAGAATTACTAGTCGTGACATTTTTTTTATGAAAGTAAGAGAATTTGATTGTAGTTTTTCGTTACCAAGCTGCCTCTTCCGCATGACGCTCGAGAGTGAACGAAAATGGCTATATAACTGAAAAGCATATATATATATATATATGTGTGTGTAATTTTTTTTATGCGAGTTTAATTTTAATACATGTAAATTTTTCAGTGTAAACTTTTCTTACACTGCATATTAATATTTTATTTAATAAGTTTAGTTATATCAATAATTCAATTGCTGGTATAACCGAATCAATAGAGTAATTGATAAATTGAGGGAGAAATTTTAAAAAAATTATTAAATACAAATATAAACTAGATAAAATATTGTTTTAAATCTTAATCATCATTTTTGCCGAGAATGGAAAATAGAATTCTGTGCACGAGACGTGAGTGTCTTAGAAGTCTAAAGTCTTCCTTGACTGTTTGAAGTTTGATATAATTTTGAATTGACTTTTTAAGGATCTTCATAAGAATAATGATATTCGCACGCCAATAATTGGTAATCCTTTTGCGTTTTTTTTTTTAGAAAAACATATTGTTTAAAATTATACAAAAATATAAAAAAATTATCAAGTATCCTTAAATTTTCTGAAAAAAAAA